TATTTTTTTTTTGAGGAAACCCTCATGCCTCCCCCACCCCCCCAACAGCAGCAAAACTTGTTGAACAAAAAAACAAAACAAGAAAGGAACTGACCTGGGTGGAGAAACAAAAATAGCAGCAAAACCTGGGGAGGGGATTGATGGGGACGGGGAAGGGGAGGAGGCTGGGTGGGCCTCATGCCCCCCAGTTTGGGAACCCATGTCCTAAATTTCCCTTTTTAAGGTCCTGATCCTGTAAACTGCTCTGACTTCTAAGTTGCCCGGCTTTCCCTTATTACAATTAATCATGTTTATTACGGCAGTGCCTAAGGACCAATCAAGAATGGGGCCCCCACTCTGCTAGGCACTGTAGAGACACGGAGTAGCAGATGGTGCCTGCCCCAGCAAGTTTGCAATCTAAATAAAACAAGACAGGTGCAGGTTGGGAGAAGGGCCTGACCACACAATCGGCCCAGGGCAGAAAGAGTTCTTGGTACTCAGAAGGTGCCTGTTCTGGCTGCGTCAGCAGGTGCTCCTACCAGCTGGACTTGAGTCTCTGGCTCATTCCTCACTGCAGCTTGTTTTCCCCAAGACCACATGAGGCAGGAAGGGCCAGGAGAAGTCACTGTCTGGGTCCTATTGCCTCCAGAGTGTGGGGGCAGTGGGCGGAGGGTGTGGGGTTCCAAGTCCAGGCAGGAGGATGAGCAGTTCCAGCTGAACCTCATTTTACCCCCTTCCCCTGGTATAGCAGTCCCTACTTTCCCTGTGGCTTTCCTTAGCCCTCCCAATCCCAGTAGTTCCTGACACCAGGAAGAAAGTTTAGGAGGGCATGGAGCCATGCCCCTTAGTGTGAGAGTCTCAGTAAAAGCAACCTGAGAACATCTGTGTGCCTTGCACCTATGGGCTGCCTCCGTTCTCGGTTTTCTTCTGCCTTTAGCACGCTGGGAGGGGACTGCCCTTCCCTCCCCATCCTCTGCAGTCACTTCCATCGGGATAAGTAAAATTTTGCCACTGCCAGGGGATGCTGCCTGAACAGGAGCATCAACCCTGCCTAACTGGCTGTACTTTGTACTGCCATCTCTGTGTTCATCAGCTCTGCAGTCCAGTGCCTCCAGCCAACTCCCAGGCTTTGCTGGCTGATAAACTAGACTCCAAGGTTGCTTCTAAACTGCTGTGGCAGCTCTTCCTCACAAGACTGACAACACCTCTCCCATCCCCATTCTTGGCTCCAGGCACAAGGGGTGGGGGTCTTTTCCTTCACGCCTGGCTTCCCCCAGGCTTCCACAACTATCTTCTACACCTGACACTTGAAAGTTTCTGATTACCTACTAGCCTGCCAGCCAGGGTGGGAAATACTTGTGCTGTTACTCCCCACTCCTTGAACTGTGCAGGAATAGGACTCTTGTGCACTGTAATTGTCATCATGCCAGCTGGCTTTCTAATTAATATTTCACCTTATCTCTCTCTTTTGTAATAGCTTTTATTTCCTTCTTGGCTTTGTTCCACCTTTTTGTTTCTGTCCTATAATAGAGCAAGGTGTCTTCAGCATTTGCGTATGTTCTTCCTTTTCTCTCCTTCTGCCACTTCTCTACCTTTTTCCCCTCTAATTTTTGTTTTGGCTTTCCTTCTGCCTCCCTCCCTCCAATGAATAAATAAATCATCCTGTCTGAGTATTCCTGACTTTTTTTTTCCCTTTCCCACTCTCTCTCAAAGAGAGGTTGAAAATCTTTCCAGATGTCTGTGTGCCTCTGGAATAATACTAGTAGCCAAAGATCTGAAGAAGAGTTCTGTGTAGGCTTGAAAGCTTGTCTCTTGCTGCCAGAGGTTGGTTCAATAAAAGATATTACTTCACCCATTTTATCTAGCCAGAGACCGATAAGAAGGATGGAAAGGCATTACCCACATGAAAAGCCAGTCTAACACCTGGAGGTCCTTCTTGGAATCTTTGATCTCTGCTCAAGGGCTTCTTTCAAACCAATCCAGGCAGGTATAATTGGTGTGTATTCCGTACTGTACTATCTATCCCCTGCCTGCTGGAAGGAAAATTGAGCCTTTCTCTCTCTCATGCACAAAGTTGCAATGGTGCTTGGAAGTTCCCTGCTACGCTACATCTATCTGTATATGCTCTTACAAGTGTTGTCCAGTGTTGGCAGGACTGGATCTGACCTGATTCTTGGAATGGCACCAATGCAAATGGGCACTGCAGTGGTGCCAAGTCACTCTGTTGCAGCTTGGCAGAGCAGAGGCACCAGAGCTGGCTATCCACAGCCTCTGCCAGCTCTGCATCCCTGCATGCTTGGTTCACATAGGGGAGGTTGTCTGCACTGTCATACAGGTTAGAAACTTACTTCAAAAGAGCCAAAACTTGGCCTTAACCTAGGAAATCTACCACAGGGACATGCAAGTGTAATGCAGCCCTGCATATGGGGGTTAGAACAAAAGTTCAGGGAGATGGATGCCCACGGCGCTTTTTGGGGGGCAGCACATTTTTGTGGCACTGATGCTGTGTTTTAAATGTTCTAAAATGTAAATGTGTATTTTAAAATGAGTGAGACTGAGCAGGTAAGAAACCAGCAGGATGCCAGGCTTTTCTGGGCAGGCTAAAACCTCCACTAAGGTGTGCCTCCATCTGTCGGATGAATTGATCTGTGCGGTTTTGCTCTGCTTGGGAGGAGCTGAGTGGGGACAGCCCCATATCCATTCGCAGGCACCCAGCAGAGCACCAAAGGCAGAGGCTTCACATACTGACTTAGAAGGACCTGCTCTATTTCATGCATAGTTTTCCTGATGTTATTACCTGCTAAGACAGGGATGGGGAATCTCAGGCTTGCGGGCCAGATGCAGCCCCCACCTTGCCTGGATCAGGCCCCTGAGGCTCAGCGCCCCCCTCCCCTTCCCCCCCCCCAACATTGGGGAGCCTGTGCTGGTGCTCTAGCCCCCCACTGCAGGGCTGGAAAGCACAAACTTGACTAGCTTGGGTCCCCACATTCCCCTTGCACGCCAGAGCTTAGGGGGAGTGCCATTCTCCTTAGTCGGGGGCCACGACTCAGCCCCACCCCAAAAAAGGTCCCCACCCCTGTAGTAAGAGCTGATTGCAGATGCTCAGCAGATGAGACAGACACTTTAAGAAGCGGAAAAATATAACTGGAAGTTGCCTCACTCAGTGAAATGTGTTAACGTCCAGGTGTGGGCTGATGAGTTTCCTTCTGTTTGTGTTGTGGTAGCTCTTAGAAGCCTTGACCCTATTGTGCTAGGTGCTGGGCAAACACCTAGTGAGAAACAGACAGGCGAAGGGAATATTGCCACTGTTTCAAAAGGGGAGAATGGAAGTACCAAGAGATTAAGTGACTTGGCTAAGGTCATGCAGGAACCCTGTAGCAGAACTGGGAACAGAGCCCAGATCTTATGACTGGTACTACAGAGCAGAGATTCTCCAACTTTATTGCACTGCAATCTTCTTCTGATGATACAACTTACTACATGAGCCTCGGAGAGGGGACCAATGCCTGAGCCTGCCCAAACCCCACCACCTCAGGATGGGGAAGCTAAAACTCCAGAGCATCAGGAGTTATCATGCCTTACTGGCATGCTTGCTGGGGTATCCGGTTAACCAGTATGTGGACTGGCTGGGGCAGCCGCCCCCCCCCCCCCCCCCAGCGGTGGGTGGCGCCCTGGGACCCC